GAAAATCCACGCGACCACAGGGAGAGAGACACACACACACGCACGCAAGCCCCAAATATACAGCAGTAGGCGTAGTCAGGGTCGGGATGGAACCCCACGACCTCCTGTATACCAGGCGAGGTAGTTAACATATCCTAGTCACCGTGATGATGATGAGAGAGAGAGAGAGACGCAGACTCCAAATATACAGGAGCAGGCGTAGTCAGGGTCGGGATGGAACCCACGACCTCCCGTAGACCAGGCGAGGTAGTTAACATCTCCTAGTCACCGTGATGATGATGAGAGAGAGAGAGAGACGCAGACTCCAAATATACATCAGCAGGCGTCGTCAGGGTCGGGATGGAACCCACGACCTCCTGTATACCTGGCGAGGTAGTTAACATCTCCTAGCCACCGTGATGATGATGAGAGAGAGAGAGACGCAGACTCCAAATATACAGCAGCAGGCGTCGTCAGGGTCGGGATGGAACCCACGACCTCCTGTATACCAGGCGAGGTAGTTAACATCTCCTAGCCACCATGATGATGATGAGAGAGAGACACACACACACAAGCCCCAAATATACAGCAGCAGGCGTAGTCAGGGTCGGGATGGAACCCACGACCTCCTGTAGACCAGGCGAGGTAGTTAACATCTCCTAGCTACCATGATGATGATGAGAGAGAGAGACACACACACAAGCCCCAAATATACAGCAGCAGGCGTAGTCAGGGTCGGGATGGAACCCACGACCTCCTGTAGACCAGGCGAGGTAGTTAACATCTCCTAGCCACCATGATGATGATGAGAGAGAGAGACACACACACAAGCCCCAAATATACAGCAGCAGGCGTAGTCAGGGTCGGGATGGAACCCACGACCTCCTGTAGACCAGGCGAGGTAGTCAACATCTCCTAGCCACCGTGGCGCCCAGGAAAGCAGCCACTTCGCTCTCAGCAGAGAGGGGTGAGTGGTGGGCTCCGACAGAGTCGTGCCGCACGTGTCGTGATGAGCTCGGAGGCGGGATCGGTGGCGGTAGGGGGGGGGGCACACGTGGAGGGGAGTGGGGGGGGGACGTGGTGGGGGGCGGGGTGGGGACACGTGGGGGGGGGGGGGTGATGAACGAGAGCCCCACGCGTGCTTAGCGCTCTCGGAGCCCTGGGGCAGCGCGGCCTCTTGCGCAAAAAACACGAAACGAGAGAGAGAGCTCTAATGAGATGCTCTCGCACCGGCTGGCCTGCTCCTCGACTTGTCGAGCAGCCCCCCACCCCCCAACCCCCCCCCCATCGTTCTCCTTACCCCTCTCGGTTCCCCTCCTCCTGTTATCTCATCCCTCCCCACCACCACCACCACCAGCCCCAATAACTCCTCTCCCCCAGCCGCCGTCCCCGACTCTGCCATCGAATCTCTTATTGCCCCCCTTTTTCTCCTCATATTCTATTATTCTCTCACCCCTCCCCCCCCTCTCTGTCGCCCCTCCCCCCTTTCCTCTCATCTCGTCGCATCTCCCCATGTGGGTCTTCTCTCTCCTCTCATCTCCTCCCCAATCGCCTCTCCCCGCCACTCCCTCCTCCTCCTTTCAGTCGGCGAAGCGATCGAGTGCGCAGGCAGTGCGGCTTGCGATGGAGCCCCCGGGGGGGGGGGGAGGTGAGAGAGGGAGGGGGTAGGGGGCCGTCCATAAATGACGTCACGCGATTTTGGACGATTTTTGACCCCCCATCGTCACACGGCGTCACAAAAAGTCAGACCCCCCCCCCTCAAATATAACGTCACAAAGCTCTGCCCCCACCCCCCCAAAAAATAAAACATGCTTCAAATCGCTTTAAACTATTGTCATTGTAGTGCGTATTTAATGTGGCGCTGCACTCTGATGTTGTAGGAGAAAACATTTATCAAAAAGTCTATTTAATTAAGTAGAACGTGTTGTCTATATTTATTTAAAGTTGCGCATTTTGATGTGACGTCACATTTCTCAACCCCCCCCCCCCCTCGTCCCACATCGTCACAAATGTCTGACCCCCCCTCCCCCCCTAGGTGCGTGACGTCATTTATGGACGGCCCCTAGGAGGAGGAGGGGTAGGAAGGGGATGCCGGGAGAGAGAGAGGGAGGTGCGATGGAAGAGGAGGCGGGAGAAGGGCGAGTTGCGGTGGCAGAGATTGGAAGGCCGAGGAGCTGGACGAGGAGGGCTGGAGGAGGAAGGACGTGGGAGAGTGACCCCCCCCTCTCTCCCCACCCACCACAACCCCCACCCCACACTCACTCACTCACCACGCACTCACTCACTCACTCACCACGCACTCACTCACCACGCACTCTCCCACCACGCACTCACTCTCCCACCACGCACTCACTCACCACGCACTCACTCACCACGCACTCACCCTCTCACCACGCAATCACTCACCACTCACTCACTCACTCACCCCACTCCCTCTCACCACGCACTCACTCTCCCTTACCACGCACTCACTCTCCCTTACCACGCACTCACTCACCACGCACGCACGCACCCACCACCCACTCACCCACCACGCACTCGCTCACCACTCACTCACTCTCTCACCACGCACTCACCACGTACTCACTCTCTCACCACGCACTCAGTCTCTCTCTCTCTCTCACCACGCACTCACTTACCACGCACTTACTCACCACTCACTCTCTCTCACCACGCACTCAGTCTCTCACCACGCACTCTCTCACCACTCTCTCACCACGCACTCACCCCTCACTCACCATGCACTCACTCACTCACTCACCACTCACTCACCATGCACTCACTCACCCACCACTCACTCACTTGCAGTGCTCGCTGCCGGGTCCACCACACTCCGAACGACCACACTCTGCAAGCCCCGCCACCATCTCCCACCACCACCCCCCCACCACCCCACTACACCCCCCCCCCCACCACCCTCCTCACAAACCCCCCCACAAACCCCCCCCCCCACCACCCCCCCACCACCCCCTATACCCCCCCCACACCCCCCCCCACCACCCCCCCACACCCCCCCCACACCCCCCACCACGACCCCCCACCATCTCCCACCACCACCCCCCCATCACCCCCCCCACCACCCTCCTCACAAACCCTTTCACAAACCCCCCCCACCACCCCCCCACCACCCCCCACACCCCCCCCACACCCCCCCCCCCACACCCCCCCACACCCCCCCCACACCCCCCACCACGACCCCCCACCATCCCCCACCACTACCCCCCCCCACCACCCCCCACCACCACCCCCCACAAACCCCCCCCCCCCCCACCACAACCTCTCCTCGCCAGCACCGTGCCGTTCCCAGCGGACCGCAACAAAAACCCAGAACATCTTCTTCATAAGATTCTCAAATTGTCATTACATTCCGCACTCGCAGCTATTACTCGCATCTGTCATCGCCATCCAATTTCTCTAACAGCGCCCGCCGCCACAGAACAAAATGCATTTCGGATTAAGCACCAAACCCCACTCGCGTACGAAGGCGCTGGGGGTTGGGGGGGGGGGCGGTGTGTGTAGGATTATGCTGCTCGAACACTCCGGGCTGTAAGATTGTTCGGCTCACACCTCTGGCACCCCCCCCCCCCCCCGCAATGCAATCGGCTTCATTGACAGCGGACTAGAGAGACGCGGGCCAGACGATGGCAGATCACAACAGACGCGCGGGGTAATCGCACCTGCGGCGGTGAACTCGCGTATCCTCTGTGTGCGTGCACACGTGTCCACGTGTGTGTGTGCGTGTACGTGTGCACGTGTGTGTGTGTGTGTGCGTACGTGTGTACGTGTGTGTGCGTGTACGTGTGCACGTGTGTGTGTGTGTGTGCGTACGTGTGTACGTGTGTGTGCGTACGTGTGCACGTGTGTGTGTGCGCGTACGTGTGCACGTGTGTGTGTGCGTACGTGTGCACGTGTGTGTACGTGTGCACGTGCGTGCGTGCGTGTGTGCGTGTGTGTGCACGTGTGTGCGTGTGCACGTGTGTGCGTGTGTACGTGTGCACGTGTGTGCGTGTGTGTACACGTGTGTGTACGTGCGCATGTGTGCGTGTGTACACGTTTGTGTGTGTGTACATACGTGTGCACGTGTGTGTGTGTGTGCGTGGTGTTCGTCACCCACCCCCTCGTGTGCTGTGCCGGCCGTTATAGGTGCTCGCTAACAGCACTTGCCCCTACAGTATGTTAAGGCTATACGGGGGACATTTGTCTTTGTGGTGTAGCGGTTAGCGCGCTACGCTACGAACACGGCGACCCGGGTTCGATTCCCGCTCACGGCCAACACCCAGTGACGATAATCTGAACCGGTCCTGGGCCTCCCTTAGGTCGACTCAGCCACCAATGAGTACCTAGCGCGGTGTGTTAAAACATCACCACTGGGGAGACAAAGGCGGCCGGGCGTGGTGTTGGCCACCCACCCCCTAGTGTACCATGCCGGCCTTCATAGGTGCTATTCGCTAACAGCACTTGCCCCGACAGTCTGTTAAGGCTACACGGGGGATCATTGTCTGTCTGTGTCTGTCCATTTGTGTGTCCATCTGTGTGCCTATCCGTAAAGCCATCCGTGTGTCCTTACATCCGTCTGTGTGTTCGTCTGTGTGTCTGTGTGTCCGTCTGTCTGTCCGTCTGTCTGTGTGTCCGTCTGCCTGTCCGTCTGTGTGCCCGTGTGTGTCTTATTACCCTACGTGTCTGTTTGTACGTCTCTACCCGTGCGTGTCGTTTGCGCGTGCTCGTTTCTTTAAAGCGGCGGTTTTTAGCCTGGGGCGGCGGGGGGGGGGGGGTGCCGGGTGCCCTTTCTGGGGCTACGAGACGTGCCCAGAATGAGTATTTTTGTTTATTAGGCACGGGGCACGGAAGCTACGACTAACTTTGTTTCATCAACCTCTGTAACGATTTGAGAACCAAATGGGCGCCAAGGCTGCCGTGAAGGTTAAGAACCACCGCGTGACAGCGATCAGAGAGAGAGAGGATGAGCTCGCTTCATCGACCGAAACTGCCCGCTTTTATTTTGTTATACTTTGTAACCTCACCCGCGTTGTCAGTGGGGGGCCCGCGTTGTCCGTGGGGGGCCCGCGTCGTCCGTGAGGGGGGGGGGGGTGGCGGCGGCTGCTGCTGCTGCAGGCGGTCTCCCGTGGCGTCGACGAGAAGACTTCTCGCGTCTCATCGCCCCGAAGGGCGCGGATCGTCGAGGGCTCCTCGCACGCGCGCACAAGGACACACAACACCCACGTGGGCAGACCGATCGCAGATGCGTAACCAAGACGCGGGGGGCAGCTTCGGCGGTACTGCTGGGGCAGGGGGGCAATGGGGGGGGGCAAGGGGGGGGGCAGGGGGGGGGGCAAGGGGGGAGGCAAGGGGGGGGGCAAAGGGGGAGGCAAGGGGGGGGCAAGGGGGGGGGGGCACGGCGCGCGAGGGCCGGCGGGTGGCCAGCACCACGGCCCCGGCCTCCTCTGGCGGTTGCACATCGCAAGCAGAGGCACTCGTTTGAGGCCGAGTCCACCTAGGGGAGGCCCATGGCCCGTGCAGATAATCGTCACCGGTTGTCGGCGGTCGCGAGCGAGAATCGATCTGCGCTCTGCCCCGTGGGTGCACGCACAAAGGCAACTACTGAACGCGCGCACACACGCACACCAGCCGCGTGCACAGACACGTGCACACCGAGACAAAGATCCCCCCCCCCCCCACGTGGCGTCAACAGACAGTGCTGTGAGCGAGGAGCACCTATGAAGATCGGCACGGCACACGAGGGGGTGGGTAGCCAGCACCACGCCCGGCCGCCCGCCCGCCTTCGTCTCCCTGGTGGCGATGTTTGCACGCCGCGCCAGGTACCCATTTGAGGCTGAGTAGACCTAGGGGACGTTTCGTTTTGTCCGTGAAAGTCCCTCCCTGTCGGTGCACTCATCCCTCCCCCCCTTCCAGCTCTCCCTTGAGAGAGAGGCACATCCGATGTCTCAGCGGATGCCTCCCTGTTCGGCTATAAATAGCGCGCAGGCTAATTATTAGCAGTGCCGCCATACAATCTGGGATGGGTTCCACAGCCTCCCGACTCCCACCCTCTCCCCCCACCCATCCCTCCCTCCCTGCCTCCCCACTCGCCCTTAACGAGCACAGAAGGATATTACGAGCTGTCGGGAAGATTATCAGGTTTCACCAGCAGCCTTGCAACGGTGGGTTTTTGGTGAGGCGGCCGGTTGGGTTTGGTGCGGACGGGCGGGCTGGCGAGTCGGTTGGTTGGTCGGTGGGTGAGTTGGTGGGTGGGTGGGTGAGTTGGTGGGTGGGTGAGTTGGTGGGTGGGTGGGTGAGTTGATGGGTGGGTGCGTGAGTTGGTGGGTGGGTGATTTGGTGGGTGGGTGGGTTGGTGAGTTGATGGGTGGGTGGGTGAGTTGGTGGGTGGGTGGGTGGGTGGGTGAGTTGGTGGGTGAGTGGATGGGTGAGTGGATGGGTGAGTGGATGGGTGAGTTGGTGGGTGGGTGGGTGGGTGATTTGGTGGGTTGAGTGGGTAAGTCGGCCGGTGGGTGGGTGAGTGGGCCGGTGGATGAGTTGGTTGCTCGGTGGGTGGGTGAGATGGTAGGTGGGTGAGTTGATTGATGGGTGCGTTGGTGCGTGGGTGGGTGAGTGAGTCGGCCGGTCGGTGGGTGAGTCAACCGGTGGGTGAGTCGGTTGCTCGGTGGGTGGGTGAGTCGCTGGGGGTGGATGAGTCGGTGGGGGTGGGTGAGTAGGTGGGTAGATGAGTCGACCGGTGGGTGAGTCGGTGGGTGGGTGAGTTGGTCAATGGGCGGCAAGTTGGTTTGTCGGTGGGTGGTTGAGTCGGCCGGTGGTTGAGTCGGTCGGTGAGCGGCAAGTTGGCTTGTCGGTGGGTGGGTGGGTCGGCCAGGTGGCGGGCGAGTCGGCCGATGTGCTGGAGGGCGGGCGAGTCGGTAGCTGGCACCAGAGCTACTCCACTCTCCAAGGGAAGTGCGTGGAGGTCTCGGGGTGGCGGGCCGGGGGGCTAGGTTCATCCCAGAGAGGGCTGCGGAGACTCCAAGCTGAGCGAGTCCTGAGTGAGCCCTGCCAACGAAACGCAACAACACAGAGCTCCTTGAGAACACGATCCATCGGTACAGGTGTCTCTCGCTCTACACAGCAGTAGTAGATGCGTTCCAAAACAAGTGCGCACAAAGCGAAACTGCACGAGTACGATAGCTGCCTGCCAACTAGCGCACACAGTACACACACAGTACACACACACAGTACACACACAGTACACACACACACAGTACACACGCACAGTACACACACAGTACACACACACAGTACACACGCACAGTACACACACAGTACACACAGTACACACACAGTACACACAGCACACACACACACAGCACACACACAGCACACACACACAGTACGCACACAGTACGCACACAGTACACACACAGTACGCACACAGTACACACACAGTACACACACAGTACACACACACAGTACACACACAGTACACACACAGTACACACACACAGTGTGGTTCCACGCTCGATCGCATAGCCGCATGTACAGTGATTTCAAACCGCGTAGCAGAGCGACTTTTTGGGGGCGAGTGAAACCTGCATGTCCACGGCTTAATTCCTCGCTCAACATTGACCGTCACACAAGGTTACAACTTCCAACTTTGACAACGGCACACAATGGTCTGCTCTTGCAAATGGCGTCAGCGACTAATATATAGATTAATATATTGTTTTTGTTATGTCCGCCGTCGGTGAAGCAGACGGCACGCAGTCCTATTGTTGCGCTCGCGGTAATAATCAGGGCAGGCCACTGGATTCGAACCGCGGATATCTGCAACACGCGGCCAATGCACTACCACTAGGACCATGTGAACGTGTACACGTGTCTGTGTGTGTGCATTTAGGTGGGAGCGGTAGTGTAGCGGTGCGAACCCGGCGACCCGAGTTTGATTCCCGCTCACGGACAACACCAGTGACGATTACTTAAACCGGTCCTGGTCCTCCCCTAGGTCGACTCAGCCTCAAATGAGGTATTTAAAATAATCGTCACTGGGGAGACAAAGGCGGTCAGGCGTGGTGCTGGCCACCCACCCCCTTGTGTACCGTTCCGGCCTTCGTAGGTGCTCGCTAACAGCACTTGCCGCAACACACCTCCCTACACCGCCCACACATACCCCCCCACACCGCCCCCAACACACACACCCACCCACACCGCCCCCAACACACACACAAACCGACCCACACACGCGTCCCCACCATTCCTCGTCATCTCTCACGCACACACAGAAAAAGAACAACAAAAAATCCTGACATTGAGTTTATGCCCATGGGCGAAAAGCACATTGGCACACGCGATGCATTGCGGATTGGTTTCCAGCTGCAGGATATTGCGATGCTCTGCCGTATACCGAAGTACGGCGAGGGGGGAGGGGGTAAGGCCTACATCCAGTGCCGGATGAAGCGAGTGCGGGGCCTGTAGCATATGTTATAAAGGGGCCCTCAATAAAAAAAAACACGTAAATATTAAAACACGTACATTTTTTACTTGCATCGAAAAGTTATTGTATTTTTTTATTTTCTATACAGACAGATAATACGACAAATCGCTAACATTAAACACCCAGTCGTTCATAAAAGTTGAAGGCAGTATAGTACTATAGTAATAGAGCAAGTGTAGAATCACTGATCCGGAATTGATAGCTTGAAAGCATTTAGCGCGGGGCCCTTAAAAATTGCGGGGCCCGTAGCATGTGCAGCTTCTTTTGCTACTGGGATAATCCGGCACTGCCTATGTCCAACGGTGGATAGATCATGGCCATTGATGATGATGCTGATGATGATGTTGATGATAGACAAGCGATAGGGCTTGGGAAGGGGGGGGGAGCATTCGTCCAGCAGTGGACAGACCATGGCTGACGACGACCATGATGATGTTGATGATGATGTTGATGTTGTTGATGATGTTGATGATCAAAAATGAAAAACATGAGCCAGGCGACGGCAAGTCATCGTGGACCCCACCTGGCTATAAATAAGGGCCATCGATTAACGCATCGATCGCAAAGTGTCAGCAAGTGGGCTCGTTAGGTGCAGGCGGGCGATGTTTTACAGCTCGAGTCGCCGTCCTAAATCCAAGTGTGAGTGGAGGGGGGGGGGGGCAGATATTTGGCAGCCGAGCTCACACCGGCTTCGCTGTTATTAGTGAGCATCGGCGAAGCGTGGTTTTTATCTGATTATTGTATTAACAATTGTTTGTTTGTTACCATCTCGTTTGTTAAATTTTTGTTCCGCGCCCATTCGTAAATAGGGTATAAGTGCTCGCTCTATGCGGCAGTAGCAGCAGCAATAGTAGCAAGAGCAGCAGTAGTAGCAGTAGTGGTAGACACACACAGTACACACCAGAGGTGTGGACTCGAGTCATGTGACTTGGACTCGAGTCAGACTCGAGTCATGAATTTGATGACTTCAGACTCGACTTGGACTTGCATAACAATGACTTTGTCCCACCTCTGGTACACACACACACAGACACACATACAATACACACACACAGTGCACACACACAGACACACATACAATACACACACAGTACACACACATAGACACACACACAGTACACACACACAGTACACACACACAGTACACACACACAGACACACACGAGCATGGGCCCATCCTCCTGCTGCTTGCTCCTCCTCATCGCCCTTGCACGAGATGATCGACAAGCCGGCTAGATGGGGGGGGGGGAGCGGCCGACCCATGCCGCCGATCACGATGAGAGGCGAACCCCGTGGGGGGGAAGCTGATGTCCTTGTCAGCTCACTGGGCTGCCGCGCGCTTCTGATCGCTGCCGGGGTCTATGCCCCAGGGCGCGCACCCTCCTCCACCCTCCTCCGCCCCCTCCTCCTCCCCTCTCCCCCCCTCCTCCCCCCCCCCCTCCTCCTCCCCCCTCCTCCCCCCCCTCCTCCTCCCCCCTCCTCCTCCTCTTCCTCCAAATCTCGAGCAACTCCCCCCTGGCCCCTATAGCCCCCCCTCCCCCGCACCCCCCGCCCCTCCCCACGCACCCCCCGCCCCCGCCCCGCCCCCCTCCTCTTCCTCCAAATCACGAGCAACTTCCCCCTCGCCCCCATAGCCCCCCCTCCCCCGCACCCCTCCTCCCCTCCCCCACGCACCCGCCCCCCCTCCTCTTCCTCCAAATCTCGAACAACTCGTCCCTATAGCCCCCCACGCACTCCCCCCCCGCACCTTCCCCCGCATAAAGACAAAGATCCCCATATAGCCCGAACAGACCGCTAGAGCAAGTGGTGTTCG